GTAATAATAGCTAAGTTTGACTCCCGAAGCCATAATTCCCGCATGATGCACGTCTTGACTCACTTTGCCTGCCTTTTTTCATCTTACCAAACAGTTGCCGCCCAAGCACAACGACCAACAGCTAAAATCATAACTTCTTGGGTGCTTTATTGATGTTTGGAAAAATACAATATTGCGTATATGAATGGCATAGGTATGAAAATCGAGAATATGCTGTTGATCCACTTTTTTTTTTGTAAACGGCATTTTGAAAACAATACATTTTAGAGGGCAGGGCAGCTGCAACGTGATCTCAATAACTGGATTGAGCGTAACGAGACGGAACTGGAGGAGGTAATACGTCCTCACTCATAATATGTTTCCGATTTTTTCACAAAAATTATCGCTTAGTGGAAGCAAAAAAAAAAAACGAGTTTAATGCCCGTAAATTGCTGTCCTCCTACACAGAAAGACTAAAAGGAAAAGCCGATTTCTCTGTTCGATTTTACTTGAGTATTTACTTATACAGCTACCAACGCACTAATTTCCTCTATCACCAGTTTTTTGAAATCATGATTCTTTTCACATTGTTTCTTCTGTTACAGTTCTGGTGCATTCTCCAAAGCTCCCTCCACGTTTCACTAACAGCTATTAAAAATACTCTTCGGCAGCTTAATAAATATGGCAGCACAACCAATTCGGCTGCATTTTTTCGAATCTTCCTTACTGCCCCTATGCAGCAAAAGAGTTTTTGAATCATTTTAATTTTTGGGTGTCTTTCCTTCGGCTAGCTACCGACTGTATTGAGCGGCAAGAACACTTCAAATTCTCTATCCTTCTGGTCTGATGAGTTCGATACATCAGTGCCCGGAGCTTTTCAACTGATTGGACCTCGCCAACAAGTAGAAATGAGTTTCTGTTGCTGCGATGTCGGCATTTTATTTCAATAGATCCGTGTAAAATTTTTTATCTGCGTCATCCGTATTTTTTCAGTCGAGACCTGATGTCCGCTTTCATTCCATGCCCCTTCATCTGATGCCGCATAGGAAAAACGCTTAAATGCTACAAAGAATACTTAATTTCATTACAGATTGATTTGCTGGAAAAGAAGGTTTTGGAGCGTCGCCAAGAACTGATTAGTCAAATGGCAATAGTGGAGCGTATGTTTGGAGAAATAAAATCACTTCCGGATGATGATCTGGACCATGACAGTGATCTGGAAACAGCCATTGAAACGCTAGACATTTGCTCGACTCAAAGCTCAGTCCCTAGCCGTGAGACTGACGATGAAGAGGAGGGAATGGAAGAGGAGGACGAGGAGACAGAGGAGGAAGAGTGTGATGACTAAGGGAAAAATATAACAGACAAAAAGTGATAAAATAATCATTACACTGATCATGAGAAGGTCTCAATACAAACTGGAACATCATTTGGCTGGTGTATGCAAAATCACAGTTCTGGCTTTTCTGGGTATGTAATGTTGAGTGTCAGCACGCAAAATTTTTAACCCAGGCTGGAACGCACCAGGCGAGCCGGTGCGATCATGCGTTTTTGCATCAAACTT